GAAATTGTGTCACCCTCTGTTCTGGAAACAGCAGATCCCGGTTCCAGACCTATGGAGCTTTTTATTCTCTCCTTACAAAGCAGTATGATTTGGATCCRTTTTATCACCATATCAAGATGGTGATAAAATGCCTGGTGGTAMCTCCTCAAAACGAGCTCCTGTTCAATAAAATGAATGATGCTGATTCTTAATGGCCTAGTCAAAGTTATGCAGCCCATTTGGTGAAAGTAGCAGAGTCTGCTAATGTGAGAGCTTGCTGCAGGGCAGCCTCTGCACAGACTGGTGTTACGAACAGTGTGCAGTAGGGTGTCTTACTAACTAAAATATTAGTATAAGCACAGAACTGATACTTTATTATATATTTTTTTATTATAGAGTGAGGATGGCTCTACTGCAAAAGCTAAGCTGTGTGAAAACCCTAAAGTACTTCAGGCTTTTTTTCATCTTCTAAATGAKCTGCTTTTAGAGCACTAAATGTGTCATAATCGAGGGAGTAATCATTGCCGACTTGAAGCAGATTTATGTGTGCCTCTTAAGTTGTTTTGTCTCCACTGGTGGTAAATTAGCTCTTTCCGTTATGGATCTCTGCTCTTGCTTTCCATGTCTCTCCATGCCTGCAAAAACGCGTGTTTGATGCAAAGCTCCTTTTATCCTGGGAAAATGGTTTGCTCTGCCTCCCTCCCCAACTTTGAAGAACAACCAGGCCTTTAAAGAAGCAACGTGAAACCGAAGCAGGTCGTGTGATTTGATTTAATTGAAGAAAACCACAAAGCGCTGCCACGATGAGCATCCTGGCTGGCAATTAAGGGAATGTGACGGGTTTGCTGGTCCGTTACATAAACGCCCCCGAACACAGGACTTCCCAGCGTCATTAGCTGCAACGAAGACAAGGGAGCCGGGCTCGGTGGCCGGCGCCGCGCGCAGGATAAATGTTTGCATTTCCAATTAGGGCTGAGCTGTGGTGGCGATTCCCTCGCGGTCTAATTGAGGCTCTTGAGCAGCTTCATCCACTACTGATGCTTGTGCTTTGGATTCAGAGTCGTCTTGTTCTTTAGTCTTCCCGTAAAGCAGGATTTGGGTGAGTTTTTCCTCTCTGAGGAYCTTGCTTTCCTCTTTGTTGCTCCCCGTCCTCGACTTGCTTCTCCCAAGGAGAGTTTAGCTTTTACGGAATGGGTTAACACAGAGTTTTCTGCCATCTCYACTCCGGGCCTTTCTGCTGCCCATGGCACTAAACTGTCCTCTGTGCATTTGTCAACTCGGCGTATTTTCTGACACGTGCTGTGCCTTGCCTCTCTCATCGCAAATGTCACATCTCTGYGTTTAACAAGACACTGATGTACGTACTGTGTGTTGGCAAATGCATTTAAAACTTGAGTGAGTTGTTCGGGACTTTCCAGGATGATACTCTGGGTTCCTTCCATCCTTCCRTCTCAGCGTGGAAAGCGTTGGAGTCGCCTTTGCTGGTAGGCAGAGAGGGGGGAAACCACTGGCTGGAGCTTCTCCCTTCCCCCTCTCCTGTTTAATATAGTTTATTCATCTATAAGTTGTGGTGAGTCGCTTACAGCTACTGCCTTGCCAGCATGCATGAATTATAGATGGCTTTTTTATGAGTTTTCCTGTTGACTCCAGCAATTAGTATGCATTGGACATCACGGGCTCCAGCTCCACCTGACTTTTTAATTGCTTTCTACTTTAGCCATCAGTCATTTGCCTGTCCTGTTCCATCTCTGTTGTTTTTCTCCATGTCTGTTGTGTGTTTTTAATAGCAGAAGATTCCACATTTGCTGAGCTTCTGCTCTGCTAGGTGAATGCCTAGGGATAAAAAACTGATTTACAGCAAAAATACAGGCATGAYGTTGATGGTTTTGAGTTAGACGAGTCTTGGGCTGCTGAGTGGTTTTGTTTCCTGACTCCCAGTCCCAGATCAGGGCTATGTCTTTCCAGCTGTGTACATGGGCTTTGCTTTGAGTGCTGCTGTTATATATAGTAGTCAAGAACTGTATCTGCATCGACAATGTCTTTGCTTGTCTGACTCCCCATGCGCTAATTGCTCCCGGTGCTCATTTAATTATGAGGCCCAAAAGGGAGATGAATCTTGTGCCCTGGTGGCCAAGAAGGCCARTGGGATTCTGGCTGCATCAGGAGGATGTTGCCAGCAGGTCAAGAGAGGAGATCCTGCCCCTCTACTCAGTTCTGGTGAGGCTGCACCTGGAGCATTGGGTGCCGTTCTGGGCTCCCCAGGACAAGAGGGACGTGGAGCTTCCAGAGAGGGTCCAACAGTGAGCGAGAGAGATGATGAAGGGAATGGAGCCACTATCGTATGAAGAAAGACTAATTGAGCTGGTCCTGTTTAACCTGGAGAAGAGAACGCTGAGAGGGAATCTGATCAATGTGTCTTAAGTACCTGAAAGGAGAAGATAGGGAGGAAGGAGCCAAACTCTTCTTGGTGGTGGCCAGTGACAGTACAAGTGGCAATGGGTACAAGTTGAAACCCAGGCAGTTCCATCTGCATGTGAGGAAGAACTTCTTYGGTGTGAGGGTACCAGAGCCCTGGGAGAGGCTGCCCAGGGAGGTTGTGGAGTCTCCTTCTCTTAGATCTTTCCAACCCACCTGAATGCAACCGGGTGCCCCGTGTTCTGGGTGTCCCTGCTGGAGCAGGATGGGTTAGACTCTATGATCTCTAGAGGCCCCTTCCAACCTCCGCCATTCTGTGTGTGGTTCTGTGGGAAATTTCTCAACGTTGTGCAGACAGTGCACTTGCATCGGAGYGGATGGCCCGGCGCACGGTGACTCATGGAGCGCTGGAGAAGCACTTGCCTGGAAGGGCTCTGAGTTCAGGCAGAGCTGGCGGGAGGTGCTTTAAATTCCTGCTTGCGTGCGAGTTGGCAGCAGGTTTGTTTTAGGAAGGAAGGAATTTGCACTGTCAACTAGGCTATGGCYGGGGAAATCTGTGGGCACTCATTTGTGCTGCACCAAGAAGGGAATATAGTCCTGTCAGGACAGGGTTTCAGCCATGTCCTTTGAAGCCAATGGAGACTTAAAATATAGATATTGAGTTTAGGGGTAGATCCTATCCCCCTTATCACAGTGGGAAGATGTGATTAAGAATTTTTCCTTTCCTTTAAAAGTCTTTGGAGAAAATGGCTTTTGGGAGCCCTCTAGGATGGAGCTGTTGTTGCACATAATGACTAGYGTGGAAACAGATTTCCTATTTTTCAAACCTTTTGTTGAAGGTTTTTTCCCACCCCTTCTCCAAACAGGTTGATATCAACACCCAAGGTTTTGCTCCTCCTGAGCAACATGCTGTAGGAGACCCTGCTAGAGCAGGGTGGTTGCACTGGCTGATGTCCCTATGTCCCTTCTAACCTCATCGACTCCATGGCCCTGCAAGGAGAAAGATCCAGGAAGCTTGAGAGAAGCAGGAGAAAAGGAGAAGACTTTTTGCTGATTTTGACCACGTGAACGTCCCCGTTCTCAAGCAGAGGTGTCGGGGAACATTGTTCTTTAGGAGTCTGTAACTTCTCAGTGGTGGCAGGGTACAGCGAAGTGTAACATAAAGGAGTGCTCGYACTGGCAGCACTTCCAGGCATGTGGTAAAACAGCCATTCACTGCTGCTCTTATCCTTTCCAGCTGAGGGATCTTGAAAACCCTCTTACACCAAAGGAGCTGGAAGCAGATGTCCCTGGAGTTTTACACTTCGCTGAAAACGAGGGTGGTTATTTTTCACTTAGCTTCTTTCTTGCCATTGCCCAGCCCTAGGTCAACCTCTGTCTGTTTTGTGGGCTTTTTTCTTCCTCTTCTCACTTTGTTTTTTCCCCTCTAGCCCCAAACCACTTGCTCTTCTGCTCTCTTCCTTTACCACCCCGCAGCACCAACTTTGCATCTGCTCCCCTTATGTTAAACTTCCCTTTGTGCTCTGCTGAACCCTCTACCTCTTTATGGGAGGGAGGAACCCCCAGTTCTCTCCTTCCCGTCTCTCTGCTCTGCTGCGGGGGGATTTGGTGGCCAGGGAGATTTTCCTGCCATCTCAGGCACATGGAGGTCCCGGGAGGCAGGAGGGGAATCCTTGGATGCTCYTTTATTCAAACCCTTGTGGATAAGTGAGTTTTCTGCTGGCTAAACGGGCACCTATGCAAATTCCACAGATCCTASGTGGCACTTTGGCTTGTTGCTTTTCTGGCTGCTTTAGGTGTGACAGCTCTGTGGCGGTCACCGATGTGGCAACATACAGACTCCTCATGAGGCCTCAGACTCTTCATATCACATAAGATTTGTCCTCACCAGCAGCTGCTGAATTTACCAGTTGGATTTTCATGTTGACAAGTTGCTCTTGCTTTCCTCTTTTTTTTTTTGTGGTTAACCCCCAACTTCACTGTGAAAACCGAAAGGATTTTCGTTTCCCAGAAGGATTTCACTGCAGTCAGGCTCTACCTGGAGCAGGGCAAGTCTCACTTGGGTGGAACCAGCCACTCACTGCCGACCAACTCCGTGCAAAAGCTTCTTGCTCCATCTTTACACAGCAGGGACTATTTGTTTAAGGATTAGTGTATGTGTTGGGGATTCAGTTGTATGTGACCCTTGCAACAGCACAAAGTACAGTCAAATTTCTGGCTGTATCTGGCTCTTTGAATTGCATTCGGGAGGTGCTGCTGCTGTGGAGAGGGAAGGCCACATGGTAACATGAACACAGCTCTGTTGCTTCCTGACAGGCTCCGATGCTGAAGCGATTTGACTCTTTTTAGGCAGATATGAAACCTTAAAATAGCCTTTCATGGTATTCAATAACTCAAGCACTTAAACACAGTCTTGTCAGCAAAAGTAACTTGGAACTTGAATGGAATTTGTTGGGCTCATGCCTGATCTATGTTGATATAGGGTCTGGAGGTAGCCTAACCGGTAAACATTTGTGTGTGGTTTATTTGACAGTATATGAATCTAACTGGGGGGGGGGGAGACAGAAAAAAAGCTTCTTATTTTTATCTTCTTTTTCTGTTCCTAGTAACGGCCTCTACACCTGAAGATGTCTAACAATGGAGTTGAAACWGAAGACAAACCGCCTGCTCCTCCGATGAGGAACACCAGCACTATGATTGGGGCRGGGAGCAAAGATCCGGGGACTTTAAACCATGGCTCAAAACCTCTGCCTCCCAACCCAGAAGAGAAGAAAAAGAGAGACCGATTTTACCGATCTATTTTGCCAGGAGATAAAAGTACAGTATTTTATCTGTTCTTACAAACCTCCTCTCTACTCAGAATGACCTTAGATGAAAACCATTTAATTCTGGTGTAGTTCTTAAGAGATGGCTTACTTTTTCTTCATATGGAGCTGTCTTGATCATTTAGGGGAACATGGCTGTGTGTGTTTTTCTAATAATTATCGCTGCCACAATTAATCAGTCCTGCTTAATCTGTTTTGTGCTTTTTTTTTTTGTTTGTAATTACAATAATCATATCCCTGAGAACTGGGACTAGCTTTTCCTTCTCCCACCTTGAGCTGTCCTTAATGATCTTGGAAGGTCATTTAAACGACTTTAGGGGAGAATGTAGGGAGGAAGGGGCCAAACTCTTCTCGATGGTGGCCACTGATAGAACAAGGGGCAATGGGTACAAGTTGAAACACAGGCAGTTCCATCTGCATGTGAGGAAGAACTTCTTCACTGTGAGGGTACCAGAGCCCTGGGAGAGGCTGCCCAGGGAGGCTGTGGAGTCTCCATGATCTCTAGAGGCCCTTTCAACCTCAACCATTTGGAGATTCTGTAAATGTCGAGCTGACCTGCTTGTAGTTGGTGCCAAGGTGCCCCCTGTCAATTCCTTTGGAGGGATGAGGGGAGGTTGTTTCTTTACTCTTTTGAACAGCAGATAATTTTGAGTCAAGTGTGTCTAACAGACTGCCTCCTGATAGGGTCTTTTACAGAAAGTTTACTGTCAAAAGTGTAATTTCTCATCTTGCCCTGTTTCAGAGCTTGGTTGAGACATTGTCTACTTGCTGTTAAGAATTATCTTTCTTTCTAAATTCTTGCACATTTCTTGGGAACTGAAGGATTTTTCTCCTGTTACAGGAACTACAACAGATGGAAACAGGGCTAGGAGCTGTGAACTATATGTACAATTCTAATTTTTAGGATCAAGGTATTTTAAAAATATATATATATCATGTGAATCATTTGAAGTGATGTCAGAAAAAAAAATCCAGTCTCTAACCTGTGTTTTCTTTTTATATCTGGCCTATTTTGGGCGTTCTTATTTCTAATGCATCAGCCTTTTGGACACTGGGTAACTGAAGTGAAGCCTGGTTATCGTCTGTTTCATGACCTTCAAGAGGGAAACTGTCTCCTCAATTTTTGTTTTAGCAAAACAGCTACTGGGAGTGATAATTCCACTGCCTTAAATAAGCAAGAGAGAGAGGATTCGTTTCTACAAACGAAAAAAATAGTATTCATTATTAAGCATTAAATACCTTTGGCAACTTTAGGTTGTTTTAGGCACTGATTTTGATTCTGCAATCCATGAAGTCAGTGTTAAAAGTTCGCAGGAGCTGGGCTAGAGCTTGCTATTTTGAGGATTAATCCTAAGGAGCCATGGAAACTTTTTGGTTGGCGTATTTTAAAGGAATGTCTTTATTATAAATCTGTAATCTCAACAGTTGCAGAAACTGAAGAAATCATCTGAAATTTGGAAGAGATTAAAAGGAATATATGAGGATTAAAAGCCTGAAATACTGAAATTTGAACCGTATTTTCAAGGAGAACTGCAAAAAATGAATGGCTCAGGTAAAACGAGCACCCAGCCTACCACTGATTTTAAGATGTCTGCATTCCCTGAAGATGCTGCCAATGTGGCAGATGCTTCAAGACACGAGAGGTTTTTGTGTAGCCAAGCCCAGCAGAGCCTTCTGTTGCAGGGCACCTGCTCAAGCAGCAGTGATTGCTCCTGTCCTCTAGCTCCTGTTCTGCAGAAAATGCCTTCAATGCTGTCATCTTCACTCAGGATTCGTTGCTTTTCATCTAATGAAAACTTCTTCCAGCCTTGAGATGGCAACTAAGGTCCTGGTCCATGCTGCTGTAATAAATAAGTTGACTACAGAAGATCTTTTTCTTTTGTACCTGAAAAGCTTTGGGTGCTGCTTGTTGGTTTGTCTGGAATAGTGTTTTTTTTTTTTTTTTTCCATTCAGTTGGGGTAGATTAATTTAGGGAATCTGTGACCTGTTGATTTGCTGTGGTGTAAATTAATGCAGGTCTAAACCCTGGCCCTCAAGACATGCAGAAAGCACACACTTCTGTTAGTGTGTGTCCCCCTCTTAGGCTGCTTTGTCCTGCTCTGTTTCCAAAATGAAGATGTGATTTGGTATGCGGGTTTCATCAGGCTAAAAGCAGAATCTGATATTTGAAAGCACATTGGCCTAGTACGAGAAAAGTCTAGCTCTGCATCTGTGCATTGCTTCCAAGACAAGTTTGGCAGCACTGAATTTTTTGTGGCTGTAGTTTAATCAGTGTCCTATTTGGGGCCAGGAGGCAGGCTTAGGTTGATGTGTGCCACACTTTCCTCCTCTGAGCTAGTAGAAAAGACCTTCCTCATCTCAGAAAGCTCTAGGATGGGCTCTCCATGTCACTTAACTGTTGGAAATTGTGCTTGCTAGTTGCAGCTCAAGCTGCCAGAGCATCCCGAGGAGGCTTCCGGAGCGGCTGTTGTACCAAGTGCGTCACCTTTCTCATGAGAAGGTGGTATTTTAGGAATAAAGCACCCGCTGGTAGGCAAGCCAAGCAGATACTTGATTTGTACTTACATTTTATTTAAGATTCTAGAGGATTTTTTGGCTTATTGCAAGGCTAATCCAACTATAAAGGGGGATTAAGTGTTAAGTCAGGTTGGGAATGTCTGTCTCTCTTAATTCCTTTTAGCTCATACCTCCTGCTGTAGCATAGATGCTTGCTACAGAAAGCAATTATATTATTAATATTTTAATACAACTAGGCTTTTAGATCCGTGAAATTTCAGATGAAAAGCTTCTGGCATTCCTTGGCCTCCGAGAATCCTGAAGGAATTCCTCTGAGTTCCTCTTTCAGCCTCATGTGGATTCAGAGGCTGCTGTATTTGACTGGGTGCTATAAAACCCCAAGCGCGGCAGTCAGACAGGTTTAAAATCCATACAGAGCAATTGTGGTTTCACCCACTGCAGCATTACAGCATCTTTCAGCATTCTGTACTTTCTTTGGCAACTCAGTCATTCCACCATGATTAAGTTCCCCTATTCCCTCTGTCTGAAAGAGGAAATTGGAAACTATCTGTTCTTTCTCCATGCCCCAAACTGAGCATCTGAGTCTTCCCTTTCTCCAGAAATAGCGAGCGGTGCCAGAGCTCGTCACTGCGGAAAGCAGAATTTGGTCCCTTCAGTGTCTACACATCTCACCAGCAGAAGCACCTTAAGTAATTGCGTGACACATCAGCCATGCAGGTTTCTGAAATACCTGTTTTTTGGTGTGTGTGTTGGGAGACGTCAGCTACCAAACAACTCTTGCACTTTAGATACATACCGTAGCAGTGGAAAACACAAGCTGTTTAGTCACCTTCTGCTGGCTCTGTTTATTTTATAACTGCAAGGWGTATCAAATGGGAGTAGAACATGGTTCTTCCTTGAAGTGATCTCAGTTTCTTGAGTAGTGTGTAGATTAAAAGGAAGGTGGGGTCTTTATTGCATGCTGCACGTAGATAAATTTAGTAGGGGACATAATGAGAATCTTAAGGGTGCATCTGTTTTGCTTTATTTCCTTTCCTGTTTGTCATGACTTCTGCTCCTCACCTGCCAGATTCTGCTGTCTTTTTTGCTGACTCTTCAGAACCTGTCATTAAAGCCAAGTTTACATCATACCTTGAGCAGGAGATTGCATGGATGGGACATAACTCGCTTATAACTCTTACTAATGTAAGGTTGTGCAGCAGAAGCTCATGCACATTATATTTGTTTTACAGACTCTGTTTTGATGGTGTAGGATGGAGGGAGTTCATTTATAAATGGCATTTGTAGTTAATCTTGCCTCTCTCTAATGTGAGAGGTGAGTGCATGTAAAMAGCCTGTGTTTTTTAAACGACATATGGAAAGATCTTTACAAAAACAAACAAAACGTATGTCAAAGCTCCAGGGCTCCAGTTACTTCCACTCTGACCTGTGTAGGTTTGAGTGAATATTTTAGGTGGATAGTGCTGTGGCCATTGAGTCCAGCTCTGCCAGTTGGTACTTATCTCAAATATCAATTTCCTTATACTTGTCCTGTGCTGGAGGAGTCTGATTTTCATTGTTCACTGAGTGCAGCTGCTCTCAAATGAGGAGCACATTGTTTTTAACTTGCTGTACATCTGCCTCAGATTGAAATCCTGTGACCAGCAAAAGTGGGTCTATGGGTGGGTAAATCACAAGTTGTCAGGGAGATCTTAATTCTTGATGGATTCTTGTTTTTTTTCTTCTCTTCCAGCGAATAAAAAGAAGGAGAAAGAGCGGCCAGAGATCTCCCTCCCATCAGACTTCGAGCACACGATCCACGTGGGCTTCGATGCAGTCACAGGAGAATTCACAGTGAGTCACTGGGAGGAAAAGGAGATCATGCGGTTTTGCTCTTTGCTGGGCTTATTAATCTTTCATACAGCAATGCCACAGAGGCTATTGCCATCATCAGGTTTGAAAAACATCTATAGGGGCCTGTCCCCTCATTCCTGCTCAGAGACTGTTTGTCAGATGTGGTACATCCCAGCAAACTTTCCTTTTCCTATTTTTCAGCTGCTGTGGACAAAAACGCRTTACCTCTCCCCTCTCTCTTCCCTTTATTTCCACTCCCCTTCTAGACTTGGATTAGGGCTACAGCACAGTCTGTGCTCTCTCAATGGGTCTCTGAGAGCTCTCTTTAGAAGAGAGCCAGCTGTGTGTACCTGTGTGTGCGTCCTTAGGCTAAATGGCAGCTACTTCTACACATTTTTTCTTATTGACATGCAAATTAATAGGGAACGAGCATGGCATTTCATCATATTTTTCTTAATTGATTACAAGGTAGGATTTAACAGCAGCAGAAGTTCTTTATGAGCAAGCTGTTTATAGCTGTCTAATACGTTTCTCTTTCAGGGACTTTGCTTTCCTAGCCTGATCCATGTGTGCAGTTACATTGTACATGTCCTGCCCTAGACTGCCTGAGTTAACGTGGATGTCCCACCTGGGCATTAGCTCTGAGGGGTGCATCCAGCGCCCCTTTGAACAGGGAAGGTAACGTTGTTGGGGAAGAATCCCAGCGACCTCCTGCTTCACCTGCATGAGCTGTTGATCTTGCTTGGGAAGGAAGTCACAGATCAAATTGTCCTCCCAATTTTGATTGAAATAATGTGTCTGTAGTGAAATTTTGACCTCCCTGTTTAAAGTTATCGTCACTGCTGTCCCAGCGCTTGCAACAAGCCCCAAACCACTCTTAGCAAGATGCTAGAGTGCACAAGGAAATATTAATGAATATTGCACAGCTACTGTAGTAGATACTGTAAAATATATGTTACTTATATAGTCACTCCTAGATATAAGCAAATATGTGTGTATTTTGTGCAAAGATATTTTTTCTTGTTTTCTTGAGGCTTTTCCTGAAATGAAGCATTGCGTCTTTCCCTTTGGTTTTGGTCTTAAGGATCTTGAGCTTGCAAAGAGCCTGGAGATCCAGTGGCATCAGTGGCATTTGTATATCCACATATGTGGTACTTAAGTGACTTCTAACAGAGACCAGGAATGAGAAGATATCATCCCACCACCTTTTTTTTTTTTTTTTTTTAATCCTTCTCTCTTCTTTTGTCCCCCTTTCCTTCACAACACCAAAAATAATCCCAGAAACAGTGCAACAGGACTAATGTGGCAGGGACTTGTGCTGTGACTCACATTAACCAAACTATGGTCTAACAAAGTCCATCTCCAACAGGGCATGCCAGAGCAATGGGCCCGTTTGCTGCAGACATCCAACATCACCAAGTCAGAGCAGAAGAAGAACCCCCAGGCAGTGCTTGATGTGTTGGAGTTCTACAACTCCAAGAAGATCTCCAACAGCCAGAAGTACATGAGTTTCACAGGTATGTGGTGATCATCTCATGCAGCAAAGCTGCCTCGTTCAGCTTTTCATTGGGGTCACTGCAAATGTCATATAGTTGTGTGCATGTTTGATTGAAACAAGTAGATCTACCTTTTTTTGAGTTTTTTTTTTTTTTGAAATTGCAACCAATACCTGGTAGACAGATCCCGTAATCCTAGTGTTGTGCCCTGGTGATGAAAATCCCTGGAGAAAGAGGCAGCTGAATCTGCTTCTGCTGTGGATGTTGCTTCATATGTGCTTGGCGGGAGCTTTCTCTGCTCCCCATATGCCCTGATTAAGGAACACTGCTCAGCTTCTGTATCCTTGATAGCTGCTGGCTGCATTTCCCTATAAATCAAAGCTGCTGAGGTTTTCTGTCTCCTTGAGGAGAATTTCTACCTCCAGGAGAATTCCTGCAATCCTTCTCCCTGTCAAATCTAACTCTACCCCTTTCTCAAACTTTCCCCGTTTTGACTTTTAAGGAGATAGAGCCATATTACCAGAGCTGCTGTTAACTCTGCACGTCTACAGGGATAAAAATGCAGATTCTCCCCAGGTTGCCTGGGTAGTTGGGCAAGAAGCTCACGGGCTAAATAGGTGAGGATCCTTAGATGCTGTTCCAGGAAGTTTTCATGGCCAAGGCTGAACATCATGCAGGTCTCAGGTGAGCTGCAATGCCTTAGCTGGTGACTTAGCTCTTTCAAAGCCCATTGGAAAGGTTTGGGGTGTGAAGACGGATGACAGCTCTAGCTCGCAGGTGTTGCTCCGGGAAATTCCACCCTCCTGCAGCAGGGCCCCTGCATTTGTTTGCAGAACTTGATATTCCCCTRTCTACCAGGTGTCAGCTTGCTCTGGGGAGTCCCATTGAACTTCATTTGCTCCAGAAAAGTGCCTTGGGGTGCAGGGACTCTGAATGGGATCCAACCTATAGATCATTCCAGGAGAACAGCCCCAGAAAGTCAGAAACCTTTAATAATAGCCTTGTGTTCTCTCAAGCTTAATTGCATTTGAAATGATTAATTTTGGTTTTGGGCTCGCCTTCCTGAGAGAAGCTGTAAGCTGTGATTCACATTGCTATGTCCTGAGATAACAAATGAGGCAGGGACTGTCACGAAAGACTTTTCTCTTTCATTTTTGAAAGAAAATGGTGCCTCACTTCAGACCTGGCTTTTCCTGGGATGGTTTGAGGGCACCTATCAGTTTGGATATCCTGCACAAGGGTTGCTTGTGCCCTGGATCCTGGTGGCATCCTAACACTGGCCAGCAACACAACTTTAGATATTTCAGGGATTTCAAGGTTGAAGAACTAATCAGAACTTTTGACCTGGAAGCTCAGGCTGTAGCTGGGAAGGAGAGGGTCAGATTTCTGCCTAAATGAAATGTTCCTTTCCCTGTCCCTTGCCTACACCCTATTTGAATGACGGGCTTGCTTATATATTTTTATTTTTCTGCTCTCTGTAGAGACAGTCCACAGCAACTGCCTTTGCCAAAGTATTTGACGTTAGGTAAGATAGTGTGGACTTGGGAGCAGCAGTTCTCCCTGTCGAGCACCTTCCAAAGGGAACATTTTCCTCTCTCCTTCCCCAGTGCTGCCACATTTGCAAATGATTTATTTATTCATCCAATTTCATATTATTCATATCATTTTCAAATTGTTCATATAATTTTATTCATTAGTATCCCTCTCTTGCAGATAAGTCAGCRGAGGAATACAATTCATCAAATACATTGGTAAGCTTAAACTCATGTTATCTCAAGTTTGTGAATTTAAAAGCACATATAAAGTAGCTACAYGGAAACTTTGTTTCATCAACCTTCCCTTTCATCTTGAGGCTGTGCAAAGTGTAGCCAGGCAGTTTTAATTGTGTCTCTATGGTGGCTTTAAACACATATTAAAATATGAACACTCCCCACTCACATATTTTTAAACATAAATATATGTGTGTGTGTATTTTGACAACTCATGCTGAGTTTCTCCTTTCAGCAGTGGGAGAATAAGTAGACACAAGAACTTTTTGTTAGTGAATTCTCCATATAAATTGTTCTCTATTTGTTTCCTCTGGGTTGGGTGTGGTAGTCTCAAAGATGATGATAACCTGTCCACTTTGTCTCTGTAAACATCTGTGATCTAATGAAGTTTAATTACTAACCAGCAAGGTCTGACTGAAGCAGTGTTGATTAACCAAGCCACTCTTGGCAGAAAGGGAAGTAAAAGCGTCTCCTCCTCCTCTTCTCTCCTTGACCTTTCCTCTCTCCGTAGCAGGCATTGCTCCTGCTCTCTGGGTTGGGAGGCAGAACTGAAAAGCTCTGTAATGTTTGTCTGGGGCAAGGGGAGGGATGGAATAAACAAAACTTTCTGTTGAAGATGATTCATAAAACCCCACAGTTCCCTCGTCTCTTGTTTTCTCACTGCTGGGCCATTATCTGGAGTTGGCTTCTTCTGCTCCCTTCTGGAGCCAGCCTATTCCTACCTATCGGATTGTTTAGGACTCTCTGCTAAAATAAAAAGAAAGCTCTTTTCTCTAGGAATTGTTTCATTTCATTGTGTGCCAGTGCTTAGGGGCTTAGGATGCCTGAGGCTTTTGGAGTTGAAAGTAAATCCTGAAAGAAGTAGTTCTTATGAATCTACTGAGTTGCCTATCTTTTTCATAAAGCACCGGATAACCTTTAAGGTTGGAAAGAACCAGGAAATTTCCCAGTATGTAGGCATTTTGGCATTGTTTTTTTCAAACACATTATGCTTTTGCAGTATGTCAAAGACACATTAGCAATTTTATGTCAGAATGCCAGTGACTTTCAAAACCTTAGGTTCCGTGAAATGTTACGTTTTCTTCCTTCTTTGAGAGAGAATGTCGATTTAATGCCTTAAAAGTCTTTTTTTTTTTTTTTTCCTTTGCCATTCTTAGGTAGCTGATAGAAAATGAATTGGAAGCAGGAGCACAGGGATAACTAGTGTAGTGAGTGGAGAGACTTGCTAAGTTTATTTGGAAATGTTTACAACGTAAAGGATGCTGTGGACTTCACATCCAGTCTGTTTCAAATTTATAAGGTGAAAAAAGGCTTCAACTCCAATTTTTTAACTGCTTAAGTTGCTTTTAAAAAACTTCTTGTTCCTATTAAGATTTTCCTTTTGGAATTAGTTGTAGTAGGCATTTGTTTCCAAAATCTCCGGTTATGTGGGTCTGAGTCACAGGACCAAAGCTGATGCTAACTCGACGTCCCAAATTTTAGAGAAGATTTTTAGATGTGGATGTAAATAAATGATTGGAAGACCGAAATCTCCAGCCTACATGATTAGGGCTCAGCGCAAGCAGCAATACCAAAGGAACATGAATAGAGGTGAATGATCCACTCTGTGTGAACTCAGCTTAGGCTTTCCTAAACACTTCCCATGTAGAATGAGAGCTGTCTGGGCTTGGAATTTTTTTAGATATGGCAACTTTATAGTCTTTTCTTTTTCCTTTTGTGCTTGCTTCAGTGTTTTCTCTATTTGGAGCATCGTCCACCATTTGTGATTTGCTTCTAATAACGCTTYTGGGGTTTGTTGCTGTTTGTGTAATCATGTGCAGAATGTAAAGGCTGTGTCTGAGACGCCTGCCGTGCCTTCGGTGTCTGAGGATGAAGATGATGAAGATGATGCAGCTCCACCCCCTGTGATAGCTCCACGTCCGGAACATACAAAATCTGTGAGCAAAACCTGCCCTTGCAGTCAGGTTTTGGCTGTGATTCCCCCTCTATCATGCATGGACTGGGGCTGAGCCCCTCCTGGGAGCAGGAAGGAGGGCATTGGAAGCTGTTCAAACATCAGCTGCAGAAATGCATCCCTGACAAAAAAATAAAACATCATCAAAGCAACAGATGATTAGAAATGTTTAACTCTTGRTCTGCCTTATATTGACATACATGTTTTTATTCCACCAATTAGATATACACCCGCTCCGTGATCGACCCCCTTCCTCCTCCTACCAAAGACGTGGCCACCTCTCCCATTTCTTCTCCCACCGAAAACAACACAGCAGCCCCTGACATGCTGATTAGGAACACTGAAAAACAGAAGAAAAAGCCAAAAATGTCAGATGAAGAGATCCTGGAAAAACTGAGTAGGTCCTCCTTAATTTTCAAGTTCTGCTTTTACTATGTTGGTTTCTTAATGTGAGAATGCTAACTCAGTGTTTTAGGCTCTGTTGTTGAAGATTTTTTTAACTGAAGTCCCATGGGAGCTGTGGATCCTTGGGGTCTGCAAAACAAGCTCTGATTGTGTCACATCTGCTTATTTGGAAAGTCAGAGATTGTCCCAGATTTTGATATTCCACAGCTTGGGAGTGCCAAATTGTAGAGCTAAGGCGAGCAGAGCGTCCTGCTGTGGCTAAAACATAGATGGAGAGTGTAGATAACTCAAATCAGTGGTTGTTTCTGAGAAAATATGATGGCTTATCAAAATGTCTCTCTTGTGTCCTTCTAATGTCTTTAACAGCCCCAGCGTACAGCTCACAGATCTTATTTAATTTGCTCCTGTACAACCTGATGTGGTTTGGATACTGTCTGGTGGCAGCTTCTGACAGCTGACCCAGCTCATCTCTATCATTGACTGCTCTCCTCAGGCTGGACCTGCTTTCATCAGAGCACAGAATATCTGATTTTCTAACTACTAATCTTGTGTTAAGGACATACAGACTTTATTTGTCAGTTGGTTAGTACCCCTRTAGTTGTGCTTGTCATGTCTGTTGAGGGTTTACTGCCTCCAAAATCATTATTTTATGAAGGGAAAGCTAATAGCTGGATGAATTGGAATCTAATYGGAAGCTATGGCTTAAAAAGGAAATAAATAGGTATCTAGGTGCTTCATTCTTCTAAAATAAAGTCTAAACTGAATTGGTGCCATGTAAACTACAACTCCATGTTATCAAAAAACTCATTTTTGAAGCCCATCTTGTCAAAACAGCAGCTTGACTGATGTCAGGCTGGACCTGTGTAGCATTAAGGACTGGAGTCCTTTGGTGAACAGGCACAACAAGCAGGGACTGCCTGGTAGGAGAAGATGGTTATTCCAGTGTGAACAGACTTGCTCCTGTCATCAAGAGAGATGCAAATGCAATTGTTGGGGCTCTTAATGGGATTTCTAAAGTCTAATTTTTCCTTTTTTCCTGCACAAAGTGCACCTTGTTCCTCTCCCTTACCCCCAGATCCTGAGGGCTTGGCTGCTTTCCAGCAATATACAAAAATAACTGGCCTCTACTTTGTTTGCTGCTGGCTGCCTTGGTCTAATGCAGTTTCCTTGCCAGGCTCATCCCCAAGCTCCTGTGAAAGCAGCTCCATGTTCCTGTCGATGCCAAATCCTCCCTGAGGCCGGGAAGTCTCTCGGCTCCACTTTGTGGGGCGCAAAGTGTCTTCCCTCGGACAGATGCAGGAATTTGCTTTATTCCAACTGAACAGCCACGGGAGGAGGAATGAGGGGTGATGGCACCGAGCGGTGCTGTGGTCACTTGGCAGCTGCTGTTGAAACCAGAACTACTTCCTTAGTCACCGGCTTCCCAGCAGACCAGCTGAGTGTTGCCTGGGCCATCCTGGGGGAGTTTTGCTCTAAAGAGTCTGTAAATTTGCCTTAAATTGTTTGCAGTGCAGGCATTGGGTCAGTAGCATCTGATGGAAAGATGGAAAACATGTTTGTTCTGCTGGGAATTGTCAGAGTGTAGGGAAGTCTTGGGCTAGCTTGCAACCATGAGCTCTAAGGAAAGTGGGACTTCAGAGTCTGAATTCTGAGGATGTCACAAGGACAGGGAGTCTTGGATCATCCAATTTGTTGAAGTTTGGGGTGACAGAAAATCACAGGTTTCCAGCAAATGACTATTTGCACAGGCCAGGGCAGTGTATCCACATCCGGTGCTGAGCAGTATGCAGTAACCGGCTGTAAATGTGAGTAATGTTTGTTTTCTGTCTCTTCTGATGGGAAATATCTGTGAAAGGGGAAGGCCACAGTTATGATGTGTGTAAATAACTGAGGACTTCCTTGGTATCGCGCTCGTCTGGGTTCAAACAAGTGGCTCCCAAGGCTCTGTGGAGCCTGGGGTGGCCACGAGGCCGCTCTTGCCATGTGCTTGCCCAAGTCTTGGTTCTTTGAATTGCATTAAATAGAACTTTTAAAAATCTCAGTTTTTTGCTTTTGTTCTTTTCCTGTAGGGAGTATTGTGAGCGTGGGCGATCCCAAGAAGAAGTACACACGGTTTGAGAAGATTGGACAAGGGTTGGTATCAGCTCCCTCTCCGTCCTGTACCTTTCCTTTTACTGAGATGGAAACAGGGAAACGAGGCTAAGTTTGTGGGAATGCTGGTGGTGATATTTTCCTTCCACTCTTCCCCCATTCTTGGCAAATGTCAAATTACAGTGACTGGGGGTTTGGTGTGATTGTGTTTTAATACGAGAAAATATGTCATTAGATGATGAGGTTGCTAAATATAGCTGCAGCCAGGAAAGAAACTGCTTATTTTCAGCATACAAGACAACCTTCAAATTACAGATTTGCTTTCTGAATTAACTCTCCTTGATGATTGTACTGTACTCCTCTTAGCAGGGAAGGGCTTGGGCAGAGGCCATAACGAGGTGATTTGTGATCCCAGATGAGATGGAATCAACTCATGGTCCTGCAGTTGTGCTGGGTTGCTGGTTTAGCAGGAGAGGGTTGGAGGCACCTTGGGTCCCATGTCAGGAACTTTATTCCACTTAGGCTCTCTGGCCACTGCTTTATCCGCAAAGTTGGCTCAGCGATACAGAAATATTGCAGCTGATATTTACTTCTGGAATTGTTGCATGAAAAAGAAGGGGAATCAGAGTGTTTTATGAGGACAAGCAGAGCAGGGATAGAGTTCTCAGCCTAGCAATGAAGCACAAATAAGTGTGKTTTTTTTTCCCTCCCTTTTATTTAGAGCTTCAGGTACTGTTTACACGGCCATGGATGTAGCTACAGGACAGGAGGTAAGTGCTGCTAGAAAACCCCTTTGGTGCGTTTCCAGTCRCTTTTGAAAGCTTTGGTTGATGGTACAAAACAAAGACATTCTTTCAGGGGTTCAGGATACCTCCTTTTTAATGAGGCCTTTATTTCCTTTCCTAATGAGGCACGGTCGAGTGATCTGAGCAGACAACTGGAAAAAATGAATTCCCACGTTTTCATTCCTGAACCATTTCGTATTTGTAAAGAATCTTTCTGTGACCCTGAAGATTCCTGTCTCTTTCATCTCAAAGGCTCCTGCCTGTCCCCATTTTTTCTTCTCTTTATTTTGCTTCCTACGCTTACGCAAGCTGACTTGCATAGAAATAGTTCCTCACCCACCCTTTGCCCACTCACTTTCTGCCCTTGAACCGAGGCAAGGAATGCATCTTATTTTTTTCCTGAATATTGAAGAGTGCCCTGCATATGGCATTCACCCATAATAAASCCGGAGTGATGACTATGCAGCATCTGTGGAAACAAATACTGCTCGATTGAAGATTTTTGAGGAGGAAAATTATGCATTATTCCATATATATTTATGGAAGCCTGCAGCACTGCCTGTCTGCTCCACATTGRTACAAAGACCTGGTTGCCCACCAGGGAGTTTTGTAACTCTCTGCTTTTTGCTAAGTACTTTACTCCTTTTTCCCATTCCCAAAGCAATAATATGGTTCAGCTGCAGCCACTGAGGAGGAGGAGCAGCATTTATTTTGAAGCAATGGGAAATTTATAGGAGGAGGAGATTCTCTGATGGTTTTCTGCTTTCCTTCTGGACCAGTTCAGTGACTCCCATGTGAATATTATTACATGTGAATTATTATTACAGCAAGCTTTAAAATCATTCCCATATTACAAGTGGGATCAGGCCCTCAATTTTTAGAATTGTTTTAGGGCTCACTGCAGGTATTCTGTTAACTTCTTCCATTCTCTGAAGGGTTGGTGGGTGCTAGTACCAGTCCTTTTTGCTCAGGAGCTCCATTTAGAAGTCCTGGAAGGAAATTTCTTTCCTGTGCAATATATACAGTTGTGGGCAACTCCTGGAAGTAAAAATGCGTATTTTTCATAATGCACATATACAGTAAGGAGAATGCCCCTTTATATACCTGGGCCCAGCCCTGAATGGGAGTGAGGAAGCACAGGGACCTTTTGGAATCCTCTTCAGCACTGAACTGAGGATTTATTTATCTGTAGCAAATGCCTTCGCTCTCTTCTTTGTCTTCCATTCTCCTCTCTGGTATTTTCCAAAAAGCAGCATGGGATTTTTGTTGCTATTTAACTTGGGCAAAGTTTGGCAGCCTGGTAAGTGCTGTGGAAAAGCAGCGCGGTGCCTCATCTGTTCTTCCTTTCTCACGTGTCAGGACTTCCTACAGTCTCCTGCTAAGCTATCAAAATGTTCATTGTATCTCTCTATATCAGCACTCTGAGGCAGGGTCCTCTTCTTCCTTGCTTTTGTGAGCTGCAGTTTCTGGCTCCCATCCTCTAGTGTCTGCCATGTTCTTTGCAAGTAGCTGCTTTGTAAATAAATAAATAAAAATTACATTTCTTTGTCTTTGCCCAAATATTGTACAAAACAAAAACTTTGAACTTTGGTGCTTCATTCCCCCTAGGTCTTGTTGTGACAGGTGACTAAAGATTTAATTTATTTATTTTTACATATTAACAAACTATGGTTAGGCCATGTAATTTACCCCTTCCATGATCTGCCCTCCTGTAGCCCTCTAGAAGCACAGGAGTTGTTTGGAGAAGGCAAAAAGCCCAAGCCTCCAGAAATGATGACTGATCCAGGGTGAAATTAATAAGAATTCTTTAAAAATAAACACATCTTTGATAAATCAGTCCCTACTAGATTAAGGGAGATCTCTGCTCCTTAACCAAAGGCTTTGGAGATGTCTATGGCACCACAGTCCAGTAATCCCCTTGATATTTGTGGCATTAATTACTCAATATGTGTGGAAGCAGACTGCCTGGAGGAACTCAGAGCTATGAAATGGCCCAGTAATGCGCGATGATAAAGTCACTTCCCCCTTTATTTCTGTGAGTATGGCACTAAAATAATCCCTGGTGCTGGCAGGTTTCTAGGCGAACCTTTAGTAGTGCTTTATGTTTTCATCTTTCTTCACCACAGGTTGCAATCAAACAGATGAATTTGCAGCAGCAGCCCAAAAAAGAACTGATAATCAACGAAATCCTTGTAATGAGGGAAAACAAAAACCCCAACATTGTCAACTACTTGGACAGGTAAGTGATGTTTTGCAGAGGTCACAAAGGAGCTCTGGCCCTTCCTTKTCACCCTCTTAAGTGATCCTGCCTCAGCTTAATGCAGGTAGAGGACAACTTTGCAGCGCTCAGTGCCTGTGGCAACGTTGGGTTGTGGGTGGCTTTGCAGTCTCAGTCCGTATCCCAGGAGAGAGGTGAATCCGCATCGTTTCCAGGCTCTCCTTAGGGATCGTGGCAGAAAAGACATTAGCAGCAGGCTGTGAGAATTCTACTTGATTCTCCCCTCCTTTGCCAAATTTGACATTTTAAGTCGTTTCCTTCCTGCAACTGGAGGAGAGATGGCAGCAATTTGAACTGTGCTGTTCTTTCTTGTTCTATTCTTCCACTGAGCACCACTTTCTACTCATAGAGAGATATAATCTTTTCCTTTTGGCTGTCTGCTGTCATTTTTTCTTTTGAACTCTAGCATAACATGGGTGAGGGCAAATGACATGTGGCACACAACCCGGCAAGGCTGCTGTCTTGTGGGTGTGAGGAAGGGAGGAAAACAGCAGTAAAAATAACTGTACTCCTGGAGGTGCAATTGCAGGACTAGGGATCAGAGATCTGGCATAGTAAGCAGGTAAAAAGGCAAAAAAACCTTTACAAGACAGAGGGAGCAAGTAATTCCCTGGGCTCAGGGCTGGGGGGCTGCTGGGCTTTGGGTGGTCACTTCTGCTTAATCTTGGGCATGTTGCATCCATATGGAGAGGCTCCCCCTTGAATCCCTTTTTTTCCTTACTGCAGAGCATCACCTAGTAGTTTGTGTATGTACAGACCTGCTGTTGTTGTCCTTGGGCTGTTGTCCCTTGTGTCAGGACGGAAAGAAACAGAAAAAAGCAGCGCTGCTGCTGTTATGTGTGTGCAGGTAGTAGTCAGGCCAGCAGCATTGAGTACAACTCCTCTTAAAATCAATTCACGTTCTCCTSACCCTGAGCGTGGCCCTGAAAATTGCAGTAAAATATTTTAAGTCTGCAAACAAATATGATTGAGAGAGAAGTAGAAACTGTCACGTTCCTCCACGTGGGACATTGTTGCTGCACATAGGGGTGATGGTAGCAATGCTGCCATCATCATCTGTTCAGGGACTGATGGCTTCAGAAGGAGCTACAGGTAAAGGTGCTTCTTTGGACTCAGGGAGCTGCCTTGGAGTTCAGGAACTGCTTGTGCATCCTCTACTTGGATTCTGGGAAACAGTCACTAGTTGTCAGTACTAAAATCCAGGGAGCAGTAGAAGCTGAACAGGCAGCAGCTTTGTGTCGTGACTTGTATTCAGCATCAACGTAACAGTGATCAAGCCTGAATCATTCACTCACGTTGAAGATACGACATTTAGTTGCAGTGAAGCTGCAGCAAGATCTCTAGCCTGGCAGAATCCGGCAGCCAGGGTTGTTTTGTTGTAGGCTAACATGGTGTCTTGATAGAATCACAGAATCCCAGAATGGTTGAGGTTGGAAGGGAYCTCTAGAGATGATCTAGTCCARCCCCTGGCTCCAGCAGGGACATCCAGAGCATGGGACACAGAGTGGCATCCAGGTGGGTTTGGAAGATCTACAGAGAAGGAGACTCCACAATCTCCCTGGGCAGCCTGTTCCAGGGCTCTGGCACCCTCACAGTCAAGAAGTTTTTCCTCACATGGAGATGGAAGGGCMTGTGTTTCAATTTGTAGCCATTACTCCTTGTCCTATCAGTGGCCACCATTGAGAAGAGTTCAGCCCCTTCCTATATTAACCCTTCAGGTATTTGTGCATATTGATCAGATCCCCTCTCAACCTTCTCTTCCCCAATCTAAACAGGCCCCACTCGCTTAGTCTTTCCTCATGCGAGAGATGCTCCACTCCCTTAATCATCTTTTTTGCTGTCTGTTGGACCCTCTCTAGAATCTCCACATCCTGAGCTGCAGAACTAAATCTTGGCAGCTCATTTCACTTTGGAAGATACAATGGAGGGACRTGGTCTAGACTCTCCCTTGAACTTTGAGAGAATAYTTGGGCACTTTACTCAGCATCTGTATCAAAATCCTATCTGCCCTTCCCTTAATGGGCCTGTTTTGATGTCTTAGCCAAAGCAAATACCTCTCATATCAACAAAGACTTCAGCATCAATCCTGATGCTGAAATCAAATGCTGCTGCGTCCTGTGTGCACAGTTGTAAAGGGCTTTCTTACAGAAGGGATGAAAGTTGCTTGTSGAAGCTGTGCGTGTGCAGAATTATTATTTGTGCAAGATTATTACTTGTGTGAGATGAAACAGATAGAAAAGAAGACTTAAAAATAATGCATATGGGTTGAAACTGGGTATTTCTTCTGGCTGATTAGAGGCTTCTTTTTGACATTGCTCTTTTAGAGACACTTCCTCTTCCATCAGAGCATCTCCACACACATACCCCTGCCTTGCCCAGCCAGTATATCTCAGCTGTAGGGAAGCTGCACGTGCTGCTGTCTGGTTTAACCTTTCAACTGCAGGARCTGTTGCCTTTGTCCTCTCCTTTCTTTCACTAATCCTTTTCAGAGGGATTCATTTTAGTTGGATTATGGTAAATGGAGAGAGCAGCTCCCAGGATGAGCATGGGGGATCTTGTGCCTGTTGGGCCACTTCCTTCAAGCTTCAACCCTGAGTGCCTCATCTACAGGTTTCTGCAACACTGCCAGGGACAGTAGTCTTCCTATTGAGGAAGAAGCCCCTGGAGGTGCCTTTTCCTTTCCCACTGTGTGAATGAGGGTCTTAGAGACCTGCTTTAGATACCCAAAGTGAGAAGTGGGATGCTGAGCATCAGGCAAAGCAAAGATCTGCCACAGGTTTCTTCCTAAAAACTGTTCTTCATGTAATAAACCCCTCAAATCCTTGTTTTATGTAGTAGCCACTATTATGGAGTCACAGTCTCTTTCCTAAACTGAATCACAGAATCCTAGAACGGTTAAGGTTGGCAGGGGCCTCTAGAGATCATCTAGTCCAACCCCCCTTCCCCAGCAGGGTCACCTGGAGCACGGGCCACCCAGTCACATCCAGGCAGGTTGGGAAGATCTCCAGAGTAGGAGACTCCACACCCTCCCTGGGCAGCCTGTGCCAGGGCTCTGTCACCCTCACAGCAAATAAGTTCTTCCTYATGTGGAGATGGAGCTGCCTGGATTTCAACTTGTACCTATTACCCCTTGTCCTGTCATGGCCACCACCAAGAAGAGTTTGACCCCATCCTCCCTACATTCTCCCCTCAGATACACATATTGATCAGAAGAGGGGTTGGAATATCAGTGTAAAAAACTAAACAAGTATGACACAAATGCAAAAATAAAACACTGATTTCTTTCTAGACTATCTTCTTGTGTACGTGATGGTGCCGGAGTGGTATTACTGCTGCACAATGCTGTGATGAATGTTGCTCTTCTGAGCAAATGAAAATGTTAGGAAGTTTTAAGGGTTTATCCATAAAGTAGACTTAGGATGATGACTGCCTGGKGTGCCCTTCTGATGGGAAGGGATTGGCAGCTGGGGGACACCTTCCCAAGAAAGAAATTTAAGTGAGAGCAATGTCATCCTGGCCCAGCTCAGACCACAATTCTTAGTCTAGTGGATTTTGTCTCGGTCATCTCTGCTTTTCAAACCAGATTAGGTTTTATAACCTCTTTCTCCTTCGCAGTTCCTCTCAAGCCAACTCTTCCCCAAACCTGTCCTGTTTTTTGGTTTTGGCTCCCGGCAAAATTGCTGTTCCCCAGGATCAGTGTTTCTGAGCAAGCCAAATAGCTGCTTGCTCCACTCTGGTGTCAGCAAAGCTGTTAATTTGACTCTCTGCCTTCTCTCTTGGCTCACCTGTCTCCTGACCTTTAAAAATGTGGAGATAGGCTGAGAAAATGTGTATTGCAATTTCCAAGCTGATGGTCSCTTCCTTCAGGAATGTCTTGTTTCCACCTCTGTAGTGGAAGATTGCGCTGATGTGTTTTCTGTGAATCCCAGGATTGATAGAAATTTCAAACGGTGGATTTTTTTTCTTCTATCGAGTTATGATTTGATCCCCCAGATCCCCCAGAGTATCAGCGGTACCCCCAGTACTGCTGAAGGCACTGTTGAAGCCTCATGGCTTGTCTCTGAAGTCATCGCTCTGACTTGGCTAATGGGGACGTAAAGATACCTGCTTATTTTATAACCTGGTCTTGGCTTTCAGTTACCTGGTAGGAGAAGAGCTGTGGGTAGTCATGGAGTACTTGGCAGGAGGCTCCCTAACGGATGTTGTGACAGAGACGTGCATGGATGAAGGACAGATCGCAGCAGTGTGTCGAGAGGTAAAGCCCTGCAAGTCACCTGGGATCAGGAAGGGGACACGGGCTGCCCACAGTGCCTTACTGGCTCCCTAGGGATAGCTGCCTTCCCATTTTTCTTGGGATGGGTTTAATTTGGGAGACTACAGCCTCATGCTGCCTAGAGGGAGAGCTGCAGTGCCAAATGGGGTTGGGATCCTGTTGGTTACTCCCGTTTTCCGGATATCCCAGGGACTAGGTTGTCCTCAAAGAACCTAACAATCCCAGTGGGATATCTCTGCATAGCTCTGCATATGTCGTGTGCATCTAAGAAAACAAGCCCTTGCTACTGAAAATACACCTTGTTCATCCATTAGCTGGCTAATCAAGGCAGGTGAATAACTTCAAGCAATAAAAATAGKTTTTTTTCTTCTTTTTCCCCCTAGTGTCTCCAGGCTCTGGAATTTCTGCATTCAAACCAAGTTATTCACAGAGACATCAAGAGTGACAACATCCTACTGGGAATGGATGGCTCTGTCAAACTAAGTATGCAGCGAACAACACTGATGATAATTTTAATTATCAACTCAGGAACTAACCGTTCTGTTACCTGCTTAGGGCCAGGTCTACTGGGGAGATGGGTGCAAGGTCCTTGATACTGTAGCCATGAGGAGACTGTAAAAATACTCCTGCAGGTATTTCTGTGGCATCTCTTTTAATGGGTGTTGCCAAGCATAAATCCCCATGAATTGATACCAAACTTGAAGTGAGGTTTGGGGTTTTGGGCCRTCTGTTTTTGTTCACTAAAATAATACAGTTTTACTGCACCCTCCAGTCTGGAAAGCTGAGTTGGAAGACATAAGATCACTTATCTGTGAGCTTTTGTCATACTGGAAAATACTGGAAAATACTGCAAGTACTTGCAGGTGGAGCTGAAAACTAGAAAACACAACTAGAAAACCTAGCATAACAACAAAATGTTGAATCCAACAACTCCAAGCCCAGACTGGTCTCTTTATGTTCTTTGCCTGCTGCGCTATCAGCAGCAACGAAGACCTTGAGACTGTTCTGCCTCTCTGCTGCTAGGGTAACTGCTACACTTGTGGTTGCTTATTCAGAGATAAGACTGGAAACTGCTGAGCGATTATCTTCCACCTATAGCTTTACCAGGGCTGTGCTGCCTTTCTCTCCCCGCCGAGTCTCTTGGCTAGCAGCCAACCAGCATAAATAAATCTATTTTTTGTCAGCAGCGACAGCAGATATGACTCAAAATTCACACAGCATTGATATGCTGAGTAAGAAGGTACTTTTTTGCACATAGTTGCTTTTTAGAATAAAGCTGCACTTAGATGCAGGCAGATCTCTGCAGTATTGGGTGAGGAAAAAGCAGATGAAGACCAAAGCTCTTCTGTTCGTTATGGAATAGCTTCCTAGYACAACATGCAGGTACCTGGCTGTAGCTTGAAGGTAGAAAACTCCCTGTGGATATGATGCAGTAACCTTCTGGACACAAATTTCTTAATAGCTCTGCTGGAAATCTGCTCTGTTTATGAACCATATRCACCTTTCCTAGTTGTTACCCTTGATGAAAACTCAGTTGGGGATCAACTTAATTTTCATTGTACCTCCTAAAATTAAAACCCGTGCCCTAAGGGGTCAGGCTGGAYACTGCATCTTGCTGTGTGGACTCTGCTGGTCTCACAAAACCAGAATTATTTTTCTTTTGGCAAGCCAAAACCAAATAGGTTGTAGGGGCCAGCATTCTTCATGCAAAGGTTCAAAATTGTTCTGTCCACTTGATATAGATTTAGGTATACTGAATTTCTTTTGAATGTGGGATTTGCTCTGTAAAGCAAATTCAGTTTGAGGGATGATATGCCCACTGGGGAAGGGGAAGTAATATTCTTGGGATATTACCAGGCAAAACAGGGCAGTTTTTGTTATTTAGGTCTAACTGCGTATTCTGTTTTTACATACCCCAGAACACGTTTTACACCATATGCTGTGTAGCATATTACAATTGCCTGACATTGCAAGCACAGCAAAGTTTCTCAGCATCCATATAAGGCTATTTACAGATCCCCGTTGTTTGCAGGGACGAGTCAGCACCTCCCTGCTCCTGATGGCCTCACTGAGTCACATCTCGAGAATTACTGTTCAACACAGTTTTTCAGTATTAGCCACAAAGCCACCCTTCCTTTTGGAGTGGCTAGCAGCATATCAGACAGTGCAGCAGTTAACTTGTCCTACTGTGACATCCGTAAGTGTTGTTTGGGGAGAAGCCTTCTGATTTCTAAGTCTGTTTCTTCCTCTTCCTTTACTCCTCCAGCTGACTTCGGCTTCTGTGCCCAGATCACTCCTGAGCAGAGCAAGCGGAGCACCATGGTGGGAACTCCATACTGGATGGCGCCTGAAGTGGTCACCCGGAAAGCCTACGGGCCCAAAGTGGACATCTGGTCGCTGGGGATCATGGCCATTGAGATGATTGAAGGAGAGCCCCCCTACCTCAATGAGAACCCCCTGCGAGTAAGTCCTCACTGACCTTTCCAACCAAATGAGGCTATAAACAAGAGAGGTGAATCCTCCCATGAGGTTTCCCTGTGGTCCCTATCTCCTTAGACACTGCAGCGAGAAGATTCAGCTCATTTTTCGGTTAAAAGCCCCACATGGTCCTAGAGAGCCGAAGTGTGGGTTCTTCCTGCCATGGAAGTAGCTGTTCTGTCCTCTGAGGTGTAACCCCTGCTGATGCAGACTCTGGAAGGCTCTGAGTCCTGTGCACTCAGGTTCTCCTACTTGCTGGAGAAGCTCATAGAGGCCGCAAGAGCACCTTACAGTACCGAGCAGCTGATTTCTCCAAGCCTTGTGGCCAGTTGGGAGATCCTGTTGGGATGCAGTGGCTCCTAACACAAGCCAGGATGATGGCTTTTTCTTCAGCTGAACAGGATGACAGGAGTTAGATGAATATTGTTTAATTTTTGTCTCCATCTCTTGCACTGTGACTTGGGGACAGAAGAGTAGCAGCAAAGTAGAGTGAAGGGGACAGATACCTGGTGTAGAGTTAAATGAGGATGATTAAGTAACTTGCTGCTTTGGCCTCATTTAACTCCATTTGCTCCAGTTCCCAGGCTGCCAGACAGCTCCCATGGGAATGCCTGGGTGGTGTGCTTAAAAGGCCTGTGTATTATTTCCTTTTCCTTTTAAAATCCATCCGGGAAGTTTCTCACTTGCATGAGATCTCTGAAGTGGATGAACTCTGCCTGAGTGTGTGTGTGTGTGTGTGTGTGTGTGTGTGTGTGTGTGTGTGTATAGGGATGATGCTTCAGGATGGTAAGTGCTGCTCAAGGATCTGCTGCACATCTTGCAAGAAGACAGTTGCATTTTAGAAGACTAAACTTCTAGGCCTTGCCCACACAGGGCAGCTACTGACAGAACTAAATCCCTTGTTTATTCAGGAGCACCTTTCCCATGAGGATATAGTTTTTGCAGGAGACTAACACTGGCAGAGCCGTGCCAGTTCACTTCCCTATGTAAACACAGTCTGGAATGTTGGTTTTGTCCTCCTAATCCCTCGAGATGACTGCAGGATCCAAACCCAGATTACAAGGGTAAAACAATAAAGGATTGGATCGCATCCACCTAAAAATAGGGCAGGCAGCTATTCTATTTTTGCTGAAACTTAATCATTGAATAGTCTCCCTGATAAGTGTTCTTTTTCTTCATTGAATTGGGGGGAGGGAGAGGAAAATGGGTGTCTGAAATTTGGAGATGGAGTCTCACTTTCATAACCTCCTGATTCTTTGATGCTTGTCCTGCTCTAGGCCCTGTATCTCATTGCTACCAACGGGACTCCCGAACTGCAGAATCCAGAAAAGCTTTCACCCATATTCCGAGATTTCCTAAACCGCTGTCTGGAAATGGATGTAGAAAAGAGAGGTTCTGCAAAAGAGCTGCTACAGGTAAATGCTGGGAAGTAGGGCTGAATCAAGGTCTGCATCTTTGCAGAAGCTGCAGCAGTTCAGTGGTGGAACCATGTTTTGCCACATGCTGCTCCTTACAGCCAAGGTGACAGTACAGAATTTGGGAAAACGCTTTGTTATTTCACTGAAAACCTGGCAGTCTTGTTTGAACTGCTGGTGGAAGTGGAGGACCAAGCTGCCAGGCATCACCTGTGCATATGAGAAGTGTTCCTGTGTTCCTCTGACACACCTGTCATGGGAGTGGAAAACATGCTCCAGCTCTTTGCAAACCAACAATCCAGTGTCATACCTCAACCGTGAGACATTCTCTGTGTTGCTTTCCTTTCTTTCTGATAGTTTGTCTAGTGGATTCAGCTTTGGCTGTGTTGCTGCCTTCTGAGCATTAATCGAGTATTAATGACTGGCAGAATGGCACCAGTTGAAAGATCACTCTTTGGCTTGCATTTTCCAGCTCCAAAATTTGAGACAGCCATAAAGTTACAGTCAAAAACAGTTGCCTCTTCCAAGAAGCAGTTCCAAGAAGTTTTTGTCTGCCTTTAGCTTTTGTATTCCATCTCTGAATAGCATTCAGATACCCTGCACCTCTGAATCACATTCAAATACACTGTTTGGGATGATGGTTCCCCCTTCCAAAGCTCAAGAGCGCTGTGGGACGTGGTGGCTCTTTGTCTTCACAACATCCTGTGGAGTTGCTGAATAACCTTCACTCTCATCTCACAGCTGTTTTGAGKGCCAGTCTCTTTGTGCTCAACCTTGACCTCCTCTGCAAGGTTGGAGTGTTACAAGTTTTCCACTTACAGTGGCTACAGGAAAACTTTTCCTGCCTTGCAGATACCATATTTTAAAACTTGCTGTAAAAAAAGCCATAGGTTCTGCAGGAAGCCATTTGTGACAGTACATGCAGGGTGTTGTATGCTTGATGATCAATACTAATGTATTTTACTTAACAGAGATGCTCTGTTATGTAAAATGGGAGACTGACTGAACGGCTCTGTGGTGCTCTCTCYGAATTTAGTTCTGTTTTGCAAATTTCTCGTAGTATAGAAGGCCACAGCAGTGCTCTAACCAGAGCCATGATGACAGAGAGGAGAGCTGGTTTCTGCAGGAAGTCCCATGCCTTCTGTTCGAGCTGCACGAGCTGTGTCAGTGCACCTTCCCTCAGCACAGAATTTCACTATGGATTTTACACGAGCTTGTAACCCTCCAGGGATACTGTCAGAATTCTGCTTGATCTTCAAAGCAAGCAGATACAGAAGTTAGCTTGCATTGAGTGCAGAGTTGGGTATCAGTTCAGGCAAGCCCCCAAAGTCTGTGGTCTGTTTTGAGATCAGGTCACTAGACTTTGCATGGGCTTCAGATGCGAGGATCTYGTTGTGGTCACCGGACTTCTAGGGCACGTTCTGAACAATTTAACCCATTTTTCTTTCTCTCTTTTCTAGCACCAGTTCCTGAAAATTGCAAAGCCTTTATCTAGCCTCACTCCTCTGATCATTGCAGCTAAAGAAGCAGCAAAGAACAACCATTAAAGCGGTGGAGTTCAGCATAGTCGTCGTGTCAAGCCTTCTAGATGCTCATTTTAACGACCGAATTACCTGCCCTTCTTCCCTCCCACTCCTCCTTCGCAGGGCTGCTCCTAAGACTTTGATGTCCCCAGAGGGGTGGCAGAGGTAGCATTAGCTGAATGAAGGGCACTCAAGAGGGACACTGCTGATCTTAGTAGCAAAATGCCTTTCCCTCCCCTCCGTGGGATGAAAGGGGAAGATTGTTCTGTACGATTGAAAAGATCTTTCCRAGATGTCTGAACCTGACCTACAAGTAGCAAAGCCACTTTTGTTTTCATATTTCTTATTGTGTTTATTTTTAAAAAATAAATGTGGAGCCTTAGACCATGTTTATCTTAATAAATTAAATCTTGTGCTGGCTGGACGTTTTTCTGCTTGTGCCAAGCTGCTGTTACACCACTGGGCTGTGGATGACCTGAGGAGGGAAGGAAGCAGCCAGCAGAAATCCGAACATCTGCAGCAAGTGTCAGGGGAACAAGGGCAGGAATAGGAAGGTCCCTTGCAGCACTGCTGGATGCCTGGAGAGCGCGTGGAGAAACCCTCTATCTGCTTCCTGCGGCCGTCAGGGAACTTGATTCATGAATCATCTTGCTGCCAAATTTTGTGAATCAGACCCCCAGCACCCTGGTTACAACTCAACCAGTTACACAGATCTCCTAAGCGTGTCTGATGTTCTAGAAGGTAAATTACAGAAGAAGATGCCCGAGAGGCCTTGTAAGGTGATACAACTATCAGTGCTGTGAGGTTTGTTAGAGACCCCTGCTTGTATGATAAACACAGCCATTATTGGTATAAAGATAAGATTTTCCTGCAAAAGGATGTTGAAAACTCTTGTTTCTTAGATCAAGCCCAACAGAAGGACTGACCACAGACACTGCTTTCTTGGAAGCATGGGGACRCTCTTTTAATTTTTTGGAATGAGTAACCTGTTTTCTTTATGCTACTGACTCTAAATCCTTTGGTTGCTGTAGTCTCTAAAGTGGGAAATATAGAACTACAAGAGAGATCTGTCACAAACACTGTATACTGATTTTTAATAAAACGACTGCTGCATTTCTTAACGTGGGGCTGTGGGAAGACTTGGGAATTTGCTGTCACCAAAGAAGTGGCAGATGGGGTTATTGTTAATGTCATTGTCACTGGGAGCTTGAATGTGATGGATGAAGTGATATAAGCTTCTCTCTCAGCCCTTTTGCAGCTCCGTGGAGTACAAAAGTGTGAAGGGAGTAATTGCACACATAGAGGAACTGGATAAAAGGCTGGTACAACTCAGGGAGCTGCTTTCTCTGACTGTACTGCTCTCTCTCTATATATCACTTTGCTCAGTCCTGGGGGGAAAGAGTTTAAACAAGTTTTGGAGTAATCTCCCTGTCCAAAGCAGTTGTGTTGCACAGAAACTCGTTCCTGCTTCTTGCTGAGACCTGCTAGTGGATCAGCCTCTTCTCTGCTTCAAGGCGTGGATTCAAGTGTATTTTTCCCTTCCCTCTGCAATACACGGCAGTTCTCAGAGCAGCCTTGCAGATGCAGCTAAAGACATCTGTACAACCTCCTGCTTCTTGTGATCCATGCAATGCAACTTGGAAATGTTGCCTGTAGGGAATGGATTGTGCTTGGGAGCAGGTCAGTGCCATTCATGGTGTGTCATCTTCTGCCACAGCTTATGTGCCTCTCCCCTTGCCACGCTCCTTTTACCAGGCAGCATCGTGTGAATCCACATCCCATCTCCTTGCACAGCCGTGGCTCATTCTGTAGCATCCACATGGGCTGGAAAACACCAGACTAACGTGCAGCTGGCTGGAAACCTTAGGTTCTGATGTGACTTTTGGCATTCCCCATCCAAGGGGGGAGCCTTGATGCAGATTCACCTAACCAGTGAGCACCTGTTTGAGCTTATTTGCTGCAGCAGAACTTCTCACTTTACATAAGAACGGTGATGTGGATTATTTGCACAGCTTTAAGTTGCTCTTCTGGGTTTCTACTCAACAGGCATGTTGTGTTTTTATGTTGTCAGCAAATCTTGAAAGGTTTGTAGCTATGTTACGCTTAAGAGACTAGGTTTTTTTTGTTGTTCTGAGATATTTTTGGTCTCTTTTCTATGTGTTGGTCAGCTTTAGTGCCTGTGTGAGCCTTTGCATATCCTCTTACAGCACTTTCCCTCTCTTACATAGTGACTGTCTCATGCAAAAATTAACCCATGCGGCTTATTTTTCTAAGAATGTCTTGACTTGAAACTTGGAAGACCCTCCTCCATCTAGAGAACTTTTTGGGCAGATTCTTTGTGTTTTACCTACTGTATKAATTAATCTGATTCTACTGAGCCGAAACCATTTTTAATCACAGCCTTAAATTATTTATTTCCCTATTAATATTAAAGTGTCTCTTTATTAGAACATGAAATATTTAATTCTCGGACTAGCCAGTCTGAAAATCTGTTTCCTTTCTTGCTTTCTCATTTCTTTTCCTTCCTTTTGGAGGCATCCCAGGCAATTCTATTATGTTACGTAATAGGAACATCTGATAGCACCCAGGGCTTGGTGAAGAGAGGTGCTAAACTCAGCTTCCAAATGCTCCGAAGATATTACTTAAGGAGCAAATTGTGGCTTCTACACGACGCTTCCTGTATTTAAAGATCCCTGTGTGTTTTTAAAGAAAGGTGGCAGTGCTGAAAGAGAAGATCCAGGGCAGAGACGGAGGGGGACTGAAGCCCTTTGGTTATTGCTGCTGCAGCTGCCCCTCTGTCTTTACCAATCCCTTGAATGTCTTAATGAAATATATTTTCAAAAGGCATAAAGCTGACCGGTTAGTTGTTATGGGCTCTTCTCGGGGATGTTAACGCCTCTACCAAGCTGCATTGTCCTCTTAAACAGCAGGGGCGCCTGGTTTTCCATGGAAAAGAGGCTCTTTGAGGAAGGAAGTTTCCATGGAGACACTTGTACTTGACTTCAGGGATCTGTGTGGAGCTTGAGAAGAGACTTGGGAGCAAACACCGCATGGAGACAAAAGCCAGGGTTTTGCAAAGCAATGGGGCTGCCTCCAGGTTTCGTTTCCAACTTGATGGCCCTTTTCAAGGGACTGGTTTTCAGAAAGTCAGAAAGTGCCAAAATTTTTGCCTGGTCAAAAGCAAAAAAAAGACAGTCGCTTCTCAGCCAATATTTCAGTAAATGTCCCCATGTATCCACCTCAAGATACTGCTTTTTGGTATAGATGGGCTGTATTTACAGCAAGGTGAGATGCAAGAACAGACCGAAATGTCTTGTAGATGAGTGCTTGGTTTCTTAAAAGTTTGACAGCATTACTTGACAGGAAAATTTGGCCAGAACATATAAAAATATATATACTTGGATGACACTTCTACGAAGAGTTTTGTGCAATCCCATTTCCACTGTGGAAACCAACATTGTCAATGTTAAAATTGTCAAAGGTAAAGTCTGACTCTTGAATCATCTCCCTGGCGTAAAATAATGGCAAAAGAGAGCAAATACACCCAAGAAGAGAAGAGAAACAGGCCAAAACAGGTGCCTGCAGGAAAGGAGGGCTGCAGGAGAAGGTGGAGATGGGTCAGGGGGCACAGAAGGAAGATTAAAGACCTTGGTTCTATCCTGGATTGCTGAGGAGCTCCAGGGAGCATCACAGCTTCTTGCTGCATGGAAGGGGAGAAAAATATCTGGAGAAAAGGCACGACGAGGAGCCAGGGAGCCTTTAATGTGAAACGAAGAGGCTCCCAAAGCGGAGATGGCGAAGMAGCAGCCTGGCTTTGGGGCCAGCTAAAAGGGCTGCAGCGAACCCAAAGGATCTGCAGAAATGGCATTGTGCTACTGAAAACCGAGGCAGAACAAAGCAGCCTTGCTGTGATGGGGAAATGGAGGGAGACACCGGCTGCAGTTGTATAGGAAACAGCAGCAGGAAATTCCACAGGGACATCAGATTCTGGACGTGGCAAGGAAGCCATTCCTGCTTCCTTGTTGGATTGGCATGGATGCATGGTCACTAGGGACGCTGCTTTGGGATGGTTACCAGCACCACTTGTGCTCTGGCCTCCTGGATAATTCCTCTTCTACTGCCTTGGCTTAACTCTCCTGCATCGCCTGGTTTGTTTAATGTTTGAGGCCAGCTCAGCAATTTCCAAAGCAAAGCTTGAACTTTAAATAAAACCTAAATGAATTACCAGCTTTTCCTTCCCTTGCGATTTGAAAGACACTTGAAGTGACAGTCGAAATGAGTGGGAGTGCTTATGGGCAGAATTTTGCTTCTCTGGTCTATTTTAGATTAATCAAATCTTATTTGATGGAGCAAAGTGACTTTACACTAAAAGCTATTTATAGCGGACTTCTTTTTTGCCTCTTTTAATGATTTCTGCAGGAATTAAGGCTCTGAGACTCTCAAAATCCTATCAAGCACATTTCTGCATAGGCTGCTATACTAAATATTAACATTTACTGTAAAGACAGCATCTAAGAAAGACTAAGGTGCTATTTGCCCTTCCCTTGTCTGTCTAGTTAAGGCTTAAATATCCACCAAGCCATAAAACCTGATCCCCAGTTTTCAGGCTGGGGATGATAAGGGTGTTGGATGGGTTGTTCACCCACCTTCSCCAGCATCGCTCCCCACGGTGGGGTTAATAGCTAAAGATTGATCACAAGAGCAGGATTTTATCTTTCCATGGGCATTTCCACGAGTTCCTTGTTCCAGTGGGGAAGGGGGAACTTTATGCATGGGGCAGGATGCCCTGTGAAGCCACACTCATCCTTCTGCAGCTCCTTCCCTCCTTGTTTCAGTGAGGTAGACTTGAACGTTTTACCCCGATGAAGTTAAATAAACCCAAATCAAGTTAAATAAACCAAATCCAGTGCTAGGAAGGAATGCTGAGGTCAGCTTCGGCTGGGCAGGAGGTTGATAGGGAGTTGGAGATCTCTGCGCCAGGGTCTTGCAGACACGTTGCTTCATTAAATAAATTAAATACTTGTGCTTTAGGTGAAAGCTGCTTTGCTAACACCTCTTTTGCAGGAAACCAGAGCCCGTTTCTCTGTTTTTCCAAAGGTAACATCAGCTGAGCAAGGGGATGGTTGCAGCCCACCAAGAGGTGTCCGGGCACTGCAAGGTCCTTGGTAGGGTCCTGGCTGCTTTCCCTGTGCCCATCYCATGCGGGAGATGTCCTTGTCCCAGAGGTCTTGTCCTTCCATTCCCAAAGCCTCATGTATTTCCACAAAAGGGAGAATAACCTGATTATCTCAGAGGGATGTCCTGAGGCTAAACTTGCAATTACGGCTGCATCTGTGGCACATCCCTGAGAGGATCTTTGAGCACTTCTCACAAACCATTGTGAACAGGGTTTCCATTCCCATCCCTGCACTTAGTGCCTTGTCTTCTCTGACCCTGGGGTAGGTCTATGTAGCAGTAAGGGTTATAGAGAGGAGATGCCTTATTAATGTTAGACAGTTAACATAATTATTGACATAATCAGAGAGGCCACAGGGGAGGATAGAAGAAGAGACGCTTTGGGAACAGACGACTTAAGTTTTGAGGCAGCCCCAGCGGACTGGAAGTGAAGTCCTGGTGGGAACCAGACCTAAGAATCTCATTTATTTMGGAGCAAAGCGGGGAGGTACTAGTCGGAGAAGCACTAAGTTAACAGGTAAAACAGATGCACCGATGTCTGTTATTGCACCCAGGAGAGCTCTGAATTCTGATTCCCAAGGCCCATCTTTCCAGAGGATTTGTGGCTTTACTAGCACAGAGCAGAGAGCTGAGATTTCTTAGCTTCTCCTTTGTGATTCCTGTGGCAGCGATGCCCTCTCCTGGCAGCTGCGCTCGGGATTCGTTTCCCGGCACAGGAGGGCAGTGACGGGACTCARAAACACTTCCCATCCTCTATTTCTTTCTCCAAGCTCAGGACAGTGAGGATGATGTTTCCCCAAATGGGAAATAACCCTTTCTTCTAGCAGAAACTTCCCCAGGTAAATCAGTGTTTTCCAAACATGTCAAGCTCTAATCCTGYCTCTCACACAAGGATTTGTTGTCTTTGCATGTTGTACAGTTGAAAGATATTTTTAAAACAGCCCAGAGACACTCGATTCCCATTCCCCATCCACAAGTTTTTTGCAGGACAAGCTTTGAGCACTGGGCACAGGTTCCTATGGCTTGAACCCATCCTCTTACAGATCTCAGCTTGGGTAGCCTGGAGAAAGACTGACCGCCTATGGTGGAGAGGAAGCCAAAAAGAGGGATGCCTGAGGGCTGGATTRTTGGATCCTTCTCTTCCTTGCTGCTCCTTGCGTCTTCTGACGCCTCCCTGGACCTTCAGCCCAAGCTCTTTTCTTATCTGGGTGCATTTCAACGCCCCTGGTTTCCCCCAGGGAAGAACGAAACGATGCAGCAGCACAAAGAAGACCCATGCAATACAGAAGGCGGTGGCAGAGGACAGTTTTTCCCCCTCTTTTCATAGCGTCCTCGTTGCCAGCCCTGCCGAAGGGCGAGGAGTTGCTGCAGCAACGGCTGTGGAAGGCAGAGCTGGTCCCTCGCCGCCGGCTGCCTTTGAAGCGCGGCGTGAAAAGCTGCCCTCGAATCACCCAATTACACTTGTATTTGCACCACAGGGCCCCTTTGCCTCACACGGGTGCTGCAAAGGGGTCAATCTGTCTGGTCCCCACCTTGCTCCACGGATGTGTCTCCCTGGGGAAGGACGCACCGTGCMCGGAGCCGGTTCCCTCCTCTCGTCCACTCGGAGAAGCTCAAGGAGCAAAACGGGTGTTTTCACATTGAGTCTCTCCCATCATGTCCTCACTGATCCAACCAGGTAACTTCCAAAACAGGCCAAAGTGACTTGAGGCTTAGTTTATACAACAGAAGCAGGATTTGGCCCCAGAATAAACTGGSTGACTATTCTGGCCACCTGAAGTTGCTTTCTGAGTTTGAATTCAGATGCTCTGGGCTGAGTTTTGTGTTTGCTGCAGAAGCGACCGCTGCGTCTCTGGCTCTGCTTCTCCACCGCCTCATTCCCTGCTCCTGCCCTCACCTGGGAGGAGGCATCCATGTTTCCTGGAAGCTTTAAAATATAAATCACCCCATGCTCCAAACAGCCTTGAAAAATAAAGTGGTGGGGAAGGAGATGCCCTTGGGTTGTGCAAAAGCTGCTGAATCCCGTTTGCACCACAATGACACTTTCCCCATGTGCGGAGCTGCGCTGTGCTGGGGTCCTGCACGACAGCAGAGATTGAAGTTTCGGGTCACTTCCTCCTCCTCCGTTATCACTCCGGGAAATGCCCACGCTGCTGAATGGTGCAGTTTCTGCAGCTAATCTTGCGGGGACATCGTTACCCGCGTGAGTCACCTGCTCTCAAGGCTCTGCAGGAGCTCGCTGGGC